TTGTTGCTCCTCGAGGCTCTTTTTCTTGTCCTCCTTCCCTTCCCCCCCCCCCCCCCCCAAGAGACCCAGACGGCACTTCCTCCTGTCAAGGCTTCTTGGGAAAGCAAGCTCGAGAGTCAGTATTCTCTTCTGCAACCTGCAACCCTCCCTGCACTAGCTCCAGCTCGTGTTCGATGACATACTAGTCCAGCCGATGCTCTTCTGCTAGCGGGCCCCCATCTTCTTCTTCCCTCTTAATTCTTCTTGTGTCTTTTTTAGACACACACACCACATTCGTTTAACATATCCAAACCTTCCAAAGGCTCGGCAGGAGAAGAGAAAGGGAGAGCGAGAGACGCGCGCGGGGAGACAACCACAATCGCTTTGCCTTGTTTTACACCTGGATCAGCCTCTTACACACGCTCCCGGCTCACACACACTCACACACAAAACGCGCCCGCCATACCAACAAGGCACGCACCGCACAAACGTTTCCGCCCTTAGAGACACTATTCACTCGTTCATTCCAGCCGTCGGTTGGGCAACACCGCAACCATGATGAGGGGACAAGGAGGACAGCAGCAGGGGCATGACGAGGGGGAAATGGTGGAAATCGATGTTCTTCAAGGCCATCACCACCCTCACCAGCAACAATATCAACAACCGTACCAGCAGAACAACACCTCCTCTCCGAGCCAGAACCAGCAGTACCATCAGGACCAGTACCACCAGGATCAGTACGGCCAGAACCAGTACCAGGAGTACAACCAGAACCCGTACGGAGGCTCCTACGCCAGCACTCTCAACGAGTCCCAGCCCGACTTCCCCTTCGCCCGCGCCCTCACGAGCAACGCCCCGTCGCCGCAGCCCCAGCAGCAGCAGTTCCAGACGCCGCCGCCGCAGTTCGCGCAACCTCCTGCCATCGCAGGCGGCGACGAGTACGGTCCTCCAGGCTGGGCAAACCGTCACTCCATCGGCATGTCGGGCGCACCGTCCATCGGGCCCTCCATCTCGGGGATGGACACTCCCGTCGATTCTCGCGCGGCTACGCCCACGCTGAAGAGTGGCCAGCAGACGCCGTTCGACTACCTCCCCGCCCCGAGGCATCCGTGGTCAACTGATTCTGCACCGAACAGCCCAATGGTATGAGAATGACTTCAGAATTGTTGCTTATGATAGTCGTGTCGGCTGACATTGTGAACAGAACCAGAGCCACCAGAGTCTGCAGACTCTGCTCCCTGGCCAGGCGTCTCCGGTGCTCAACAAGGAATGGGTGGAGGGCAGCGACCAGATCGCGAGACTTCACAAGCGCGACGACTCCGAGATCTGGGGCGGCTGGAAGCGCAAGCTCTTCAAGCTGGTCCCCTTCCTGATCCTCTTCGCTACCGCCATGTACCTCGCCTACCTCGCCCTGCGTATCTACTGCGTCATCTCCGCGCAGCAGATCGCCAAGGAAATCTACTCGCAGGCCTGGGTCTTCATCGCCGTCGAGATCGCCGTCGCCATCCCCTCGCTCATGCACAACATCTGGACCATGTGGTCGATGAAGAAGCGCCACCGCCCCAAGCTCCGCCTCATGGGCGACGAGGTCCCCACGGTCGACGCCCTGGTGACATGCTGCGGCGAGGAGGACGACCTGGTCCTCGACACCGTCCGCGCTGCCTGCGACATCGACTACCCCCGCGACCGGTTCCGTGTCATCGTGTGCGACGACGGCAAGTCGGCCGGCCTGGAGGCCGGCATCGCCGCCTTGGCCATGACCTACCCGAACGTCTTCTACCTCGCCCGCCCGAAGTACCCCGGAGTTCCTCACCACTTCAAGGCCGGTAACCTCAACCACGCTCTCGACTATGTCCACACCATGCCCGGAGGTGCCGGCCAGTTCATGGCTGCTCTCGACGCCGACATGGTACGTGTTCATCTGATCTCATCTCACCCTCACTCTCACTCTCAACGGCCCCGGTTCCCCTCATCCGTGCAACAAGCTTTTCAGCCAATGTTTCTACCCACGTTCACACCAACTAATAAACTCCGTGTCTGCAGATCCCCGAGCGCGACTGGCTCCGTGCCATTCTGCCTCACATGCTCATCGACCCGAAGGTGGCTCTCGCCTGCCCCCCGCAGCTCTTCTACAACACCCCGCCCTCCGACCCGCTGGCCCAGAGTTTGGACTTCTTCGTTCACGTCATCGAGCCCGTCAAGGACGCCCTTGGCGTCGCCTGGTGCACCGGTTCCGGCTACGTCGTCCGCCGCGAGGCCCTCGATGAGATTGGCAACTTCCCTCTCGGCTCCCTGGCCGAGGACGTCGCGACCTCGACTCTGATGCTTGGCAAGGGCTGGAAGACGGCCTACATCCACGAGCCCCTCCAATTCGGCACCGTCCCCGAGGACTATGGCGGCCATCTCAAGCAGCGCACCCGCTGGGCCATCGGAACCGTCGACACCTCGTTCAAGCTCAACTTCTGCCTGTGGGGCGACAAGGTCAAAAACATGACGGCCGCCCAGCGCTTCTCTGGCTTCCTGTACGCGACGCTCAGCTTGTACACCATCCTCCTGACCATCTCCATGTTCGCCATCCCCATCATCCTGGTCATGGGCAAGCCCCTTGTCGCCTACGCCAATTACGAGCAGCTCCGCTGGCTCATCCGCGCCTGCTTCGCCACCACCGTCTCCAACCGCCTCTGCGAGTTCGCCCTCTTCATCCCGGCCGGCTACCACACCGGCCAGCGCGGTTCCCGCTACCAGCTCTGGATGTCGCCATACATCGCCCTCTGCATCATCCGCTCCTTCATCCTGCCCACCTGGCTCGGCGGCCAGACGCAGGCCTTCAAGCCCACCGGCTCCCTCGGCTCCGCCCTCAACGAGCGCGACCCTAAGACCCGCAAGAACATGTTCCGCCGCCTCTGGGGCGTCCTCATCAACTACATGGCCATCTTCCACCTGTCCTTCGTCTACCTCACCCTCGTCGGCGTCGTCCTCACCTCGTACAAGTCCTTCTACCTCAACAGCGACCTGCGCGACCTGCTCATCAGCCTCATCACCCACGCCTTCTGGCCGCCCCTGACCTTCATCTTCATCTGCAGCTCCCTGTGGACGCCCATCGCCTACGCCATCGACCCGCCCAACATGCCCGACCGCGAGGCCCTGCTCGACCGCGATCCCAAGACCTTCGTCGCGCACCCGTCCCCCGGCAGCAAGAAGATCGCCTTCGGCGGCCAGGCCGCCTGGTTCGAGACCGAGCTGACCATCACGACGGCCTACACCATCCTCATCTTCGTCTGCTCTTTCTTCTTCTAGATTGGATTCTTCCTTCGTTACTGCCGCGAAAACATTTACCGGTTGCAATTCTTTTTATCAACACACACACATACGCATTTTTGTTTTATCAAATTACACAAATGGGCGCAGGCAGCGAAATGTTGCTCCAAACCGGGAATTTGGGAGAGGGGCGGGCTACAAATGACGCATTTACACAAAGCATGCACAAACGCACACATCACACACAACAATGCGGCATACACAACGTACAAAACCACAGGATGACTGTCACGATAATGTAATGCCTGTAAACTACTGCACATAGAACAGTATAGAATTTACGCAAACCAATGGGGCGGAAACGGGTGGCGCTGATGATCTTCCAACACACCCTGCTGGAAGGGATGAGAGAGGACGAACATCATCATTCATAAATATCTTTTTGTTCAAAACTGAGAATATAACTCATAAAAACTTCATAAAATCGTCATTTGTCTCAGAAATCAGTGATCACTTTTCGTTTTTCCATCCAAAAAATGTGGCCACTTTAGAAAGTTCTTGGCAAAGTCCGTTCAATATTTCCAGTGGCCTTATCCATCTCGTCATCCCCCCGAGAAATGCTCCTCATTACTACTGGCTTCCTCAATGGTTTCAAGTGCGTCGAAATAGATTCTGCGACCGGTGCCATTTTCTGGTGCAGTTGCCTGTCGGTCGTGGCTTGCGGGAGGCTGGGTCCAAGACAAGGTGTCACTAGCATCACAGGTGCCTGTATCCCACTCGTCACCGGCATCAGTTCGTTCGTCCGCTCGAACATGTGTGCTAAAACGTCCGCGTCTCACAAATCACCCGTGTTCCTCGTTTTGCAGATACGCCCCTAGCTATAAGCTACCTAAGCTAACACCAACTGTGTTCGTACTTATCCCAAGTACGAATAAGAGGAAGAGGATTTGCGTCCGGACAAAACGCCGATCCGGCTGGCTTGACGGAACGGCGAGATCTGCGCCCCAATGGTGCCGCAAGCCATCTCTTCCTTCTTTTCCGCCCGCCCATTCTTCTCTCTTCTGTCTCTGCTTTCCTTTGTCTCCCATGTGCCGGTCGGTCGCTCGACCGTTGCCAGCAGCAGCAGCAGCAGCAGCGCCGCCCTGAACGGCCGCCGGTATCAGCGGTTGCTGGGGGTCTCATAGATAGGGGCTTCGGTCGAACTGGCCTGTGTTCACCGTACGACGCAGCAAGCAAGCAAGCAAGCAGCCAACCGCAGCCGTCTCCAGGCCGCCGCCGCAGTGCAGCCGCAGAGAGAAAGCGAGGATGCGACGGACGGGTCCATGTCGGATTCCCGGGGGCTGCCTCGATCGAACCCTTGGCATGGACGGTGGATAATGGCAGAGGGCCGCCTACCTTCCATTCGCCTTCTTCTCCCTCCCTTGCCTTCGGCTTTGCCGCGTCGCCGCGGTGGGGGTGTTGCGCGCACATTGCAACCTACCACACACCCCAATCATCCATCCATCCCCGTGCGCAGCTACGTCCGCGGCATGAACTCTGGGACATTGGATGAAATAAACAACACAGTGTCATACTGTCAGTGTCATTTAACTGAAATTCGGGTTGCTCCTCTTCCCTCGTGGACAGCACCCGTTCGCAAGGACAAGACGTCCGCGTCCCGTGTGTCAAAAAAGACCGCCCAACCGTGTTCTTTTCCATCATTCCCTCTTCTGTTGATCCCCATCCTATATTCCTTCTTGACCGCCCCAAGATTTCCTGCCAAGACCGGAATGCCAAGCATCTTCAGACGAACCGCGGCCACAAGGCAAATTGAGTTTTGGTAGTCTGAGTGTTGCTCGTCAACGACGGCGCCAAGTGCGGCGCCCCCCTGAGTCGTTAAGGTTTGTCAGGGGGCAAGGAACCTGTTTTTTCGCCAACGAGCGAAGTGATGGATGGCTAGGTTGCCTCTTGGCCCTGTCTTTCGTACACAATTGCCACAGTGCAGTGCCATCAGGCTGTATATCGTTGAAGATCTGATTACATACGATTACGGCGTGGGTGTACCCGGTGCATTCGTTTTTTCCTTTCTTCTCCAATTTCCTGCGTCTCGCAGGTGGCCTCGGGACTTTTATTACGACTCGTTGCGACGTAGGAGAAAAAAAAACACCACCAACACGGTTCTATTTTTAGGTAATCTTACAGATGAGCTTATGTCGCGCCACGCGGTCACACAAAACCACACTTCTGCTGCTGCTGCTACCCGGATCAACGGCGGCGGCAGCAGCGAATCTGGCGTTGATAAGGGCCCCAACTTGATTGTCCATCACATGCGGACCGCCTCGAGGCCAAGCTCTCACACGAGATTGCTTCTTCTCCAGATGCTGCTTCATGTAGAGTGGCCACCATGATGCGACCCCCAGCGGTCAGCCTCAACCCGCCGCCCAGCCCACTCGAAGAAACACGAAATCTTTGACGAAGTGGTTGCCGAATTCTACGCGTCTGGAGGGAAAAAGCAAAGGGTAGGTATCCCACCGCCTCCAACGGCTTCCGCGCGTTCGATACGGCAGGGCCAACCACCCAACCGAACCGTCCGTCGCGCGCCCCTCTGTCGATCCGGGCGGGCGACTGCGGACCCCGGCCAGCCCGGGCAACAACTGCAACCCGACTGCAACGATGATGATCGTCACTCTCTCTCTCTTGGTGATGATGTAATCACGACAGGGTGGAACTCAGACTGCCCACGTCGCAATCCGCACCCGGTTTGTGGGGATGATATACACAGACCTGCTCAGTGCTCCCACAACCCCGCGTTCAGCTCGAGTCTGTTGATATTGACACGAATGGATGAGGGGGGGAGGTGATGACGAGTAATAGCGGGCATTGAAGCGTTGCAGTCTGTGCCGCAGAGAGTTTTGCGCCGCGTTGCTTATCTGTGAAGGCGACCTGTCAGCGTGCTCGGCAGTTTCCTTGGCCAAACGCGTGTCGTGTTTCTGTGGACGTGACCCCGTGGGGAAGTTGTATTCATGTTGATTACGTGATGCTCATCAATTCCAGCTTGGTGTTTCTTCCACTTTTGTACCTTGATATATTCTACCTCGGCTCGTTCATTCCAGTCTGCTCTTGTGGACTGGCTAGGGAGATATGTTCAAGAAGACTCAGCAAGTCACGTGGAATGGTTGCCGGACGTAAGTCACTCAGGCTCCGAAGTTGCCTGCCAAGATGGCCAAGCTGCTCCGGCATCTAGCAGATTTCAAACACATTGAAGATAGGGAACAGCTTTCTCAAGGTGAGAATCAATCTTAAGTCAAAGATCGCAACTTTCGGTTGATGTGTTCAACAATGCATATCATAACGGGCTGAAGCTAGCATACGAACAACCAAGCCTATCATTCACAGTACACCATAACCCGTGTACAACATGCGACGAACTGTCTCACAGTCCATCCGTGCAAAAGTCGAGCAAGCCACCTTAGTGAAGCCAAAACAAAACGTCGACGTTTCAGTCGATAGCAAACTTGACGCGGTTGTTCTCCGTTAGACTTGGCTGGGTGTTGAATTGAATCCCCATCATGCTGAGGCATCTCTCCCGCCACGGCCAAATGTCATTGATGCCCGGCTCTTCTCGCGTACGCCAGCCCTCATAACGGGGCGGACCAGCAAATGCTATATAGGGCCCACATCGTCCAGTTCGTGGCTCACGTTTGTCGGGCCGCAGGCAGGCCACCTCGATCCGACATGTCGACTCCTTGTTCCTCGCCCACTCAAAGTCACCCTCTTTGACAACGTCAAAAGTGTCAAAAAAGATGAGTTTGTTGAGGCTGGGGCTCGTCAAAACCTGCAGTACAAAGAACAAGAAGTCGCCATCGATATGTGTCGTCTCCTCCGTCGGGTAGATTGTCAACTCCTGGAGTTGAGGCATCGAGTTCGCCAACAACAGGCCTGTTTTAGCAGTCGTGTCCTTCCAAAACGGCCTGTCGCTTCCCTCGTGATGCAAAGCGAAACGTCTGACTCGTTCCAGAAACGTCATGAACACATGTGCTGATGCCACGATCTTGGCCCCTCTGCGGATGCCAAACTTGTCGGAGAAGTCCGAAGCATACAGCGACATTCTGACGATGTTGAGACCTAGAAAACGGCTCAGGAGCTCGTCCTTGAAAAGACGGCACACTTCAAGCAGGCGTCGAAGTCGAGAACTTTTCCAACGCGAGTATCGTGTGTTGGCAAGTTCCAGGTCGATGAACTCCTGTCGAGGCATGTCCAGCAGAACGAAGTCGTAAATCATGTCCCTGACCTCTTTGGGCACACGGAAGAAGCGTGAGTTGCTGTTACAGAGGGTTTGCAACTGGCTGATGCGGGATTCTAGATCTGCTTTGTTCCGCGCCTGGATGACGGCGCTGCGGGCTCGGCGCTCACTTTCTTCCCGCGCGAAGTCAATTTCAGCGTGTACGTCTATTCGGTCGCTGTTGCACCTGTTAGCTACTCGTTCAAGACATTTTTGAAGACACACCTACTCCAGGGGGACAAATCTAAACGGCTGTGGCGTGTCTCTTGTTGCGCGTGCGACTCTGCGGATTGTGTATTCAGGACAGAGTGACTCTTCCCAAACCTGGTCTAACCGGGACACAGGAGCCGGTGGAGTTAAGAGCAGGTCTTCCCAAAGCTGGGAAAACCGGGATGCTGGAGCCATGGGGTGATGGTTCGATTTCTGTTGGTAAGGCGAGTATCTTGGCTTCCGCGAGCGTTGTCGATACGGAGATGAGAAGTAAAAGTTGAAGTTCAAGATTGCCGAGACTCGTTGCCTTAAACAGTCGCAGATCTCTGTAACTACAGGCAACCGACTCTGGTTGATTCTAGTCGTAAGGTACAAAGACCGCCTCTAGGCCTTTCGATGAGAGTCTACCACCTTGGATCTTATTACGCAAGTCTTGATCAAAGGTTACCTCTTTGAGACGGCCTATTGATGTTTGCAAGACTTGAAAGAATTGAAGGATGACTTTCAATTCGGGACGTGAATGGCGCTCGACACATGCCGCCAAATGGACAACGCAGCAAACCTAGTGACCATGCCTAGGTCCAGCAACCTCAACTTTGGCATAGAACAGGCGGAAAACCGCCTTTGATATTCATCCATAGGTAGCATTCAGGTCGTCAATCGTCATTCAACTGACCCAAATGACAAAGCCAATCCCGCAACCAAGAGCTATCAACGAACCAATGCTCTCGAAGAGCTTGTCGTAGACGATCAGTCAAAACTTAAGACAAGTGGTGTACCATGAGTTCTCAATGTTGAATCTAATGTGGTATCCTTCAATTATGATCAGTAAACAACAAACAACCTAACTTCAATACTCTCTCTCGGCTCTTTTGGAACCGGTCCTGGCTGCGTAAATGATGTATGAGCCACCACTTGAGCACCCTCGGAATCATGCTGCAGGAAGAGCAACACCTCTTCGGGCGTTTGGTCCGCCATGTACCACCAATCATGCCTCCGGTCTGCATCCTGCGGTCTTTGCAGCCAGAATCCCTCAACGCCAGGTCCGACCTCTGGCTGTGGGACAGTCAAGTAGTCCTCCCACGCCATCGAAGCTGTATCAGCGACGGTCACGGGGTTCTTGCGCACCGTCTTCAGTGGCCGCCACGCGTTGACCATTTGCCAGTGCTTCCCGTTGGCATGCACATCCGCATGCATGTCCGGGCAGTCCCAGCTCATGAGGATCGGCGCGAACTTGTCGGTGACGTCGACGTGAGGTCTCCGAGCTGGACAGCGGTGCTTTCGGTTATAGGCCATCCCGTCCTCGTAGGTTACGTTGCGGACCACATGATGGAAAGCCTTTACTTCAGAAGCGCCAAGCCTGTGAGGTCGAGTCCAACTCGTCAGCATTTCCATATAATAGGCCAACATCGTGGCTGGCCTGGAGAAGACACCAAAAGCCTACTCTTTCTTCAGCAACTTCTCAAGCTCTGGGAAGTATGTTTTCTTGACTTGGTCCTCGTCCAGGTAGTCTATTTGAGGCTGTTCATCCAGTCGCGCGTATTGAAACCCGTTGCTTGATATCGAAAACTCTCGATTGGTCGTCCGGGCATTGTGAACCTCTGCTGGCTGAACGTCGAGAAACTCGGCATCGTGGGAAAACATCTGCGCATGATTCGGGATGTTTCCGTCATCGTTTCTTTTGACATACGGAATGTCTACTGTTATTGATGCGTGGGTAGCCATGCTGCTGTTGTTGCTGACAGTTGGCGATTGGGTTCCTCCTGGCCCGTGATTCGCGCTTCATGAACTCTGTTAAAACGAAGAGGAGGGAACAAGTGCGTAAGTCGAAGACGGGTACGTGTTCCTTCATCACGTTCTAGAACTTCCTCTCCTTATCTTTGCGCGAGTCAGAATCCTCAAATCGGTCTAACCCCGGAAATCTGCTCTCTACAATTTTCTCCGAAAGGAGCTTGACCTCAATTTGTGCTTTAATTAACGTGATATGGAAAGTGTTACCGCTGAACATGATTGGTCGCGCTTCACACGTGGGGTCTCCATTACTGAACTACACCCGACGGGATGCGAAGGTCTCGTGAGTTGAGCAGTCAGCGGTGTACAACAACATGGGGTTAATCCGATGGTCGTCTCTGAAGCGGATTTCTGCGCCCGTTGTGCGCCCTAGGGATGATCTGGGAGAGATGTCCTCGTGGTTGAAAGGAAGCACCCGTCCATGATTGCAAACAATACGTTCTGTGAAAGTCTCCATAAGGTTTTGATCTATCCAAGCCCGTTGGCAAGCTATGGAAATGATTTTACATCTGGAATGTCTCCGATCATCACATCGGCCGTAGCCCACAGAGAATCGATTGCAATCACTCGCTCTCGTCCGTCCAAGGCCCCAAATGCCCGGTCCTGGAGACCTCACTGGCCTGCGAAATGGGCCGAACCTTAGCTCAATATCAATGGAAGTGAGTGATTACATAAACGGTGCTAAAGACATGATTTGAGTTCACTGTAGCCCAATTTCCTCTCTGGCCTGCAATTTTTGTAACATCTCTCAAGTTGACCTTACAGTGTGTTCCGTTATGTCTCTCATAGTATTGCGTGTTGACGGTCTTTTGACTGGTGATTGCTGCCGATAAATAGTGACCATCCATTCAGCCAAGGTAAGCCTCACAGGCATCGCGAATGAGCCGTTAGCTGCCTTGCTGGATATCTGGGAGCAAGCATAGGAGGTTACTTGTTGCGTCGGATAGGGCTGTTGGGTTACCTATGTAGAGATTGATGGAGGGTGATGAGGAGGATTAGAGATTGAAAATGGCAAGAGGTCGCGGTGTTGATAGTAGAGCTGTTGAAGTAGCGCGTCATGCCTGCTCAATATCGGAAGGAAGTGTCTCCGGCATATCAAACGAGAAAGTGCCCAGCTCGTCAGTCCCTAAGAACATTTCGGCATAAGACTCGATGGTAAATTCGTCCGATGACTCAGTTGGGAAGCTGTTCAAATATTGAAATCCACCTATCCATATTTCGTCATTGTCTGGAGGTGTTTCTGGCTTGTTCATGGAGGGTAGTAGGTCGCTGGAAGAGCGTGGCTGAGACTCTTCTGATGCATGTTCTGATGGTGTGAACAGCACAGGATGGACCAAATTGGGGTTGGAAAAGTTGCCCGAAGATGAAGCACTATCGCCGAGAGACGTAGCAGGTGTTCGAAGGGCTGCGGTGTGCTGAGGTGGCACAGTACCCAAGAAGTGAGCTCGGCTCCATTGGCCACACAACTCATCGAGGCCCTCAACGAGAACCGTTCGAGCGAGCTGTTTGCGCGTGTCATTAGATATTGAATGATCTGCAATGCCGCTATTTAGAAGGTTCTCAATGATTCCCTCCTCATGCCCTCGGCAGTATTCACGAAAAGCTGAAATCTCAGTCTCTAATCCTGGATCAGGATGAGACGAGCTTGGCCGTTCTAGCCCTGGGAAGACAATGTCCCATATCGCAAACCACTGTTGCTGTTCAGAAAGGTCCTTCTTGGACTTTTTGGAAAGAAGTTTGCTCTGGTCGGAGGTAATCCCTTCAAGCCGAGTTCCGGGGGTTGCAATCTGGCAGTGAAACCCCTGCGGCCGAGACATATGCTGTGTAAGGCTCCTATCGTTGGAAAAGGTGGCGAAGCAACGTCTACAATACGCAGTGGGAGTGTGCTTTCGTAAAAGGTGTTGTTTTACACGCGATATCCCGTTGAGCGTGTATTTGGCGCAGGAAGAGTGCTTGCTTGGGCTCATCTTGTGAAATGGACAAGAGAATGGTTTGGATGACCCAAGTTTGGTTTTTTTGGGAGGCGGTGGCTGGCTCTTTTCTTCGTCAGAATCTGGCCCTTCGCTTCGAAGCCGTTTCCCCTTGACTTTCTTCGTCGTATTTTGGAAGAATGTGGCGTTCTGGTGCTGATTCAATAAGGTCGAGCTCTGATTGTTGCTATTGTTAGAGTCTCCACAAGCAAAGGAACGATATCCTGCTATGAGACTTGAAACCAAGATGTCAATGACTGGCCTTAGTTTGTCGTGCTCGTCCGGGAGATCAATTTCTCCTGATGAGTCTGACATTGAAAGTAAGTCGGAGTCTAGCGAAGAACTCGAGTACTCGGGTTCAAAACCGTTGTTGAACTGTTCCGCTTTGCACGGAGACTCTTGCAACTCGCCACAATCTCGGGAAAGAATGTGAGTTTCCTGTAGGTTGAAGCTTCTGGCGCTACAATGGCTAGCTGGAAGAAAGTTAGATGACAAGCTCGAGAAGGGGGCAGGCGCAGCGTCTTGAAAGCCTACCTTCGCTTTCTGATTCTTCAGAAGTGCAGTAGTCGATGATGTGACGAAATTCCTTGAGGTTAGAGAGTCCCAAAGAAGCGCTTCGATGAACAGCCTTATCCTGGATGTAACATTCGCAGAGATCATGAGCAGTGGTGCTTCTGTGCCAAAGCAAGGTATCGCGCGTGCGCTTGAAGAGAGTGAGTGTTATCTGAATTCCTCGAATCCAGGTTCGGTTGTCGTGAGTGGTAATGGAATAGGCCCTTGCTAGTTTCCACAAACTTTCGCCAGGAATTTCAAGGCCAGGAGAATTCACAGTCCGTCGACGGATGGGAAATCCATATATGACAGACAGGCTATCCCCTAAGATACTATCAGAGGGGCCTTTGCCTTGAGACTCTGGAAGACCAGCGTGGCGAGTATCCAACTCGAATGACACTGCGTTGGCTCTCGTTTGACTCAGGAAACCTTGTGGGAGAGGCGCTTCACCGACGCGCTCAACGAGTACCGGTGTGACCCGTTTCGGGGCTTCTGAGTTCGTAGAATGGATCGCTGCCACCATCCAAGCAAGCTGCTGACCACACTCTGCGACTACGTGTGCCAGCCCAGTGACAGTGACGACCCAATTTGCACTGCCCCACGTGACCATGATGCCAGTCTGGTCCGGCAAAATGAGACTGAATCGCTGACGAAGTTCTGGAACAACGGAAAAATAGCCGGAGGTCGAAATATTTTTGCAGTTGCCATCTATCATATCCTGGAATAGCTTAAGAATAGCCGGCCCAGTCGCAGGCCATGTCTGAAAGACGTAGGATTTGATCGAGATAGCCTGGGCTTTTTTGCCACAGCCTATCACAACCATAGAATCCGCCCAGACACTGTCCTTGTTCTCATCTTGCTTGATTTCGCAACAAGTTTGTTCTCGAGAAATCCAAAACTTAGCGACATGCACACGAGGCCCATGTTGACGGCTTATTCTCCCCGTCGGCAACTTCCGTAGAATGGTCTGTTGAACATCACCGTTGGTATAGGAGGCCTCTGAATGATCTCCCCATTCTAGAGATGAGAGGTTTCTGAGTTCCAAGACAAGTCTCCGGTAAGCTTCACTCTTAAGAACAATACTTTCGTAGGTTTTCTGGCCAATTTGAACGTCGGTGTCGTCCTCTTCGGAAGCCGATTCATCGGACTGGTTCTCCTCTTCTGAGCTTTGGGACTCGTCTTTGTCCGCTTCAAAGGTCAATGCTGTAGATCTGCCCTTGGAATTTGAATTCTCTGGACAATCTTCGCCGTTATTTTGGAGACGAGGGCCTTCTCCAAGTCCTATATGGCCTGAATCTGCTTCGTCTGGGAAGAAATGCGCGAAAGATGGGTCGGCGAACAGACTTTCTTCCATTCGGCGAGGGCTATGTCCCAAATCTACGTTCCACCTGTTGAACTTTTCATTGAGGGGCATGATCTCATGTCTGGGCTCGATGCGCCCCGGTTGATTGAGGTCGCATGACTCAGAGAAGATGGCTTCTATTCGATCGACAATTTTTCTGATGGCGTCTAGTTAGTCGGAGATGGCAGGAAGGTGATGAAAGAAAAAGATCAACATACTTATGATGTTGATGAATGAACAACATGATGTATCTATTTTCCTGCGTCGAAGCCTCCATACCGATTTGCATTGCAAATGCTTTCAAAAGTCTAGGTAAAACTTTGAGAACAGACGGCCAGCTATTTGCATCCAGATACTTGCCTATGCTGTGGAAGAGACTGTCCGAAAGATTGGAGACATGGCTTTCAACAGAGTTCAAGTGCCCCTCAGTTAGGATAGAGTATGAGGTTTGCGCATCCATATCACTGTACCACCCCACGCTTTCAGAAGATTGAGAGACACTGATACCAGGCTCTTCTCTTCGAGCATCCGTATGGCGGGAGGCGTAGCCAGAATCTGTGTTTCCATCTAATGTAGGAGCAGGCTTATCCATGAGGATAGAGTCGGTATTTCTCTCCAACGTAGTAGCAGGCTTCTGCATCAAAACAGAATCGATGTTTCCATCCAAACTAGGAGCGGGATTTTGTATCAGAATGGAACCGATGTTCCTATCCAACGTAGAAGCAGACTCTTCCATCACGGCGACGTTTTCTGATTCCAACAATTCAGCGCTTAGTTCAAGTGTACACAGTATGTCGCCTACCTGAAAATGATTGCTGACCACAAACTTGGACAAAATGACGGCCTGATTCTAAACTCGAGCAGAAATCATGACTCACAAGGTCAATATTGCCAGTCCAGCCAATATCGTTGGCCCAGTCGACATCGCAGCTGCATGGTGGACCAGCATCACAGATTTCGTGCCAGAGATAGGTGCCTTCCCCAAAAGTCACCAGGACTAAAGACTTTTGAGATCCATGTAAGACAACATGATACCCCGAATCTTCCAAGGAGACTCCTCCTCCAATCGT